TCACCCCCTCCCTGCCGGCCCCACCCCTCTCATCCCCCTCCCTGTGTTCTGACCACTCCCCCCCTCTTCCTCCTGCCCCTTCTCTTATTTTCTAGCTGTTACAAGCCAGAGGCACCCGGATGTGAGGCCCCAGATCACCTCCAGGGACTTGGGGTTCCGATCTGAAGTCCTTTATTTTTGTACCATGGGGTGGGCCCCCGGCTCCAGGTGGAGGAAGCACTCTCCCCGCTGCCACCTCTGTCTACACCTGCGGGGCTGTGACCTCCCCCTGCCTCCGGGGTGGGCCCTGGGACCCCTGGGCGGAGCCGCCTGCCTGTGGTCAAAGTGCAGCGCTGTCCAGCTGTGTCTCCCAGGTCCCCGCGTCCCCTCCCCCGAGCCCCCTAGCTGCATGGCAGATACAGGCTCCCCTGGCCCAGTCACATCACCTCCTTGAGCCTTAGTCTCCCTGTCTGTCAAATGGGTTCACTCTTCCCCTTCACCTACCTCACAGGGTTGTTGTGAGGTTGCATCTAAGAGGAGCAGAACCCCAGAAAGCCTTCCCTCAGGGAGTGTGTAAGTGCCAGACTTGGGCGGCCCCCCTCACCCTTCTTTCAAGGGGGAAGGACCTGCTTAGCCCCAGATAAGATTCAGGTGTTGGTGGGGGGTGAAGGGGTGCGGCTGGCCCCGTCGGACGGAGATGTGGATGACTGGGCCTTCACCTGACTGCTCCCACCCCTGTCTGTACTGCTGGGGACAGAGTGCCCCGGCCAGGAGTGGCTCAGCAGGAGCAGTGGGGCCATTCAGGAACTGGCGATGAGGGAAAGGGGGGACACTCCCTCCTCTGCCCAGGGGCCCCCTGCGTTTATGACTTGACTCCCCGGCTGGGTACTTCTCAGCTGCGTCTGACCCCACCGTCTAATAAAATCTGAAGAAACAACCGGCCTGGCCGCCTCCTTCTCTTTGGACGACTTTTGGGGACAAGGGCTAAACTCAAGATGAGGTGAACCAGGGGTCCCCAACCCCCAGGCTGCAGACTGGTACTGTCTGTGGCCTGTTAGGAGCCAGGCTGCACAGCAGGAGGTTTGCAGCAGGCGAGCGAGCGAAGCTTCCTCTGTATCTGCAGCCGCTGCCCAGCACCAGCATCACCGCCTCAGCTCCGCCTCAGATCAGCAGGCCTTAGATTCTCATAGGAGCACCGGTCCCTGGTGCCAAAAAGGTTGGAGACCGCTGGTAGGTGACCCAAAGGTAATGGGGCTTCTTCCTAATGCCCAGTGACCCTGCCCTGTTGTCACACCTGCGTGTGTAAGGGGAGGGAGGTCATGGCCTTATCCTCTGCCAGTGGCCAGTCACCGAGGGCTCCTCTCTGGCTTTGCTGGGGGAATTCTGGCAAGTGACTGCCTCAGGTTCCTCATCTATAAACTGAAGGGTTGGACCAGATGACTTCCAAAGATCAGGCCTGAGAGTTATGTGGGTCCCATCCTGTCTCCAGGCAGCCCTGGGCCAGCGGGGGGTGCTAAGGTGGTAGGGGGTTGGGCTCCAGGAGACCAGGTCCTCAAGCCTGGCTCCTTGTCCTCCCACCTCCCAGCCTCACCCTTCTCCGCGGTTCAGACGGTACTCTGCTTGCTGGCTTCACTCTGTGCTGCCCAAGGCCCCCTCTGCTCCATCCTGACACCCAAGACGCCCCCTCTGCTTCCTGTTAAAGACACCTCTTGGTCACCTCCACCTGCCCCTATTACTCCACACTCCGCCCCAAGCCCAGGAAATATAAACACCGAAATGCCCACTTGACCTGAACCTGGGCTTCTCTTTCCTACCCAGCCAGGTCCCCACCCCTCCTGGCAAGTTCCCTCCCCTCCCTCGTCCTGCTGAGTGTACGCCTTGCTTAACTCAACGCTGCTGGGGGGGCCAACCCTGTAAAGCAGTGATCCCCCAGGCATCCCCAGGGCCAGCCGAGGCTCCTCCAACCACTCAGTGACCTGGGGGCCTCACCACCTCCCCTTGGGTCACTCTGCTTGATAAAGCTGACCTCATACTTTGTGTCCAACTCTTGCAAAAGAGTCACCAGGAGGTTCGTTAAAGATTACCCACCACCACCCCCCAGTGCTAAGACTAGAGTAGGCCCATGATTTGCATTTTAGCAAAGCATCCAACGCAGTGTTCTGCTTCCCCCCGGAGAACCCCAAGGGCCTGCTGGGGTAGGAATGCTCTAACATGGCACCCCCACCCCGAAGGAGTCACCCACAGCGTCTGTTCCACCTGCTGTTTCCTCTCTCCCACAGACAGGACCCCGAAGGTGACCGTGTTCCCTGGCCGCTCTCCCCTCTGCCCAAGGCCCCCTCATCTGCCTGTGGACACGTAGCAGCTCCCTGTCTTTGAAACCCCTTCCTCCTCTCCCTGCTAGGCTTCGTGAAAGGCGTGTCTACACTTGACTCTGCCCTTCCTCACCTCTATCACTGTGCCCAGGAGGCACCAGTGACCCAGGGCCTGGCCCCGTGGCCCTCCCTGACCACCCTCGCTCAGGCCATGGCCTTGGTTGCCCCCTCTCAGTTCCCCTGCAGCCTGTTACTCGGCCCCTGACCACCGTGTCTCTGTCCCCTCTCCCTCCTCAGTCTCCCCCCTGTCACCTTCCATGGGTGGTGGCTCTAAAATCCCTCCAAACCTCTCTCAAGCTCCACCTGCTTCTTGGACACCACCTTCCTAGAGGCACCCCAAGTTCATGACAACATCCCACAGCCTTGCCCTTCCCAGGTGCCCCAGGTCAGGCAGGAGGTTCTCCACTGGCCAGCCGCTCAGGCCAGATCCCTGGTGTACTTGTCCCTCACCCCACCTCATCCACCGAGGCGCCTGGTGGATAATCAGGGTCCTTCAATCCTGTGCACATAGCCCCTGCCCCGCGTGGTCCAGGCCCCATCCTCTGCTGCCTGGAGTTCTGCAGTGACCTCACCGCCCTCCCTGCCTCCCACCCACTCCACACTGGTGGTTCTAAAATGTGAATCCACTTGCGTGCCACTCCGCTGCTCTCGAGCCTTCCGCGGCCCCCCAGGACACCCAAGTTACGTCCTTAGCTCAACTCCAGGCTCTTTGTGGTCTGATCTCAGTTCTCCCTCCTCCCCCAATTCCTCGTTAGTCCTCCCCCACTCACCCTCTGTTTAAATAAAAACAGCTTACCGTTCCCTAATACACCATGCTCTTTCGGGACGCTATACCTTTGCACATGCTGTTCTCCCGCCTGGAATGCCCTTCCCCGCCTTGGCCACCTTGGACCCCAAAGCCCCTTCACACTCCTGAAGTCAGGAGCCAAGTTCTGTGCACATCTGTGACCCCAGTACAGCACTTGGCACACAGTAGGAAACTGTGAGATGCACTCTGAATAAATGACTCAGAGAATCCAGAGGGAGTGTCATGTGACAGGGCAGTGGGACACTGGGAGCCAGGAGGCAGGGCTTCTGCAGCAGGCTCCACTCCTAAGCCGCGGTGTGAGCGGTGTGACCGTGAGAATGGCCGCCCCTTGCTGAGTCTGCTCCCTTCCAAGGTTCCCGAACGACCCCGTCGCTTGCCTCATCCCTCACCCTGACCCGAGGGTCACCAAACCATTTCCTTCCCAGGGTAGCCCCTGGGACCTGGACAGCTGGCCTGGAGGCTTCCCGGGCCTCCACTGCCCCTACCTGCCTTTAGGGCGCTTGCGAACAGGCTGAGGTCGGTGCCTGGGGCCCCATTCAATCCCCAGAGCTAGGTCTCAGACAAGATGGCTTTATTCCACAAGGGAGCTGAGCTCACCTCCAGGCGAGAGTGGGCAATGGAGGCCGGCGGTCAGGGGATGGGGGCATGAGGACCCTGGACCCAGAGCACCCCTGCCCTTTGGCTCATGGTGGCAGCTGGCCCTCTTGGCTGTCTCCAGGGCTCTGAGCCCCCAACCCCTTCAAGTTAGGCTGGGGGCTTCATGGGCTGGAATCTGCCCCCTGGAGAGGGTGCTGCCCAAGCAGCCTCTGCACTGGGAGTGGGGAGGGGGCTCAGACACTCCTACTGGGACCTGGAGGCCGTATTCTCGATGCTGAACCATTCTCCCCACAAAGTCAGCAGTGGAGGAAGGGGAAGGAGGAGAGAGAATCAGGAGGGGACAGTCTGGATGTGAAGCCACCAGCTGGGGCTGGCGGCCACCCCCGGCCCTCCAGGGAAGTCTCGACCCCCAGCTGAGGGCCCTTTTCCCTCCTTGTGCCCTCTCTGGGGCAAAGTCACAAAGTAGCCAGGGAGACGGGAAGCCACCTCCTGCCTCCGCAGGGCCTTCCCGCCCCGGGATACTCGCTCCCCCTCCTGATGGGTGCCCCGGGCACTCCTGAGTCCAGGAGGTGGGCCCCCGCTCCTCAGGTCAGCACCTGCCGGATCCAGCCAATCACGCCTGTGATGCGGGTGTAGACACCAAAGAAGTTGGGCCGGCCACAGCCCAGGCCCCAGCTGACCAGTCCTGCCAGGAACCAGCGGCCACTGGGCTCCCTGCACACCAGCGGACCACCTGAGTCGCCCTGAAACGGGGAGAGGAGGGACAGAGTCACATTGGGGTCAGGGTACATCCATCCCAAGCGAGGCTCCTGGCTGCCAGGAGTTTCCTGAATGACAGCAAGAGAGTCACATTGCCTTTTGAAGCCTCTGCTTCCCCTGCGACTTGGCCCGGCCTCCAGCAGGTCCTGGCTGTCATGGAACTGGGGATGTATGTCCCCATGACCCCCACCCACCTCTGACTCCTTCTGTGGGTGCCTTCTAGTCCTCTCTACTACGTCACCTTGGGCAAAGTGCCTCATGGTGGACAAGGAGCAGAAGTGGGTGTGAGCCTCAGACCTGCCCACCACAGGTCTCTTCTGATTGGTGGCCTGCAACCTGGGGCAAGTCTCTCGATCTTCCCTAGCCTCGGTTTTATCATCTGTAAACTGGGGACACCATCCCCGCCTTGCTGGGAGCCCGTGAGCTTTCAGCAAGCTGAGTGAGCAGAAGGCCAGGCCCTGGGTGATGTGAGCGTCACCCTCTTCCCTCCTCTCGCCCGGCCCTGCAGGAGTCACCTGGCAGGCATCCTTCTTGCCCTTGCGGTAGCCGGCACACAGCATGCGGGGTGTCACTTGGTAGCGATAGGCCTCGCTGCACAGGTCCTGGGGGATCAGTTGCACGTCCACCTTCTGCAGGCCATTGCTGGTGGGGCCTGCCCGGTGGGGCCGAGGGCAGAGGGCAGAGGTGAGAAGATCTGAGGTGCCTGGCAGAAGCCCCCACTCTTCCTCTTGCATCTCGGGGGACCCCTTCGTCTCTCCTGTCCTGCCCACTGTTCTGGCTCCTCCTCTGAGTGGTTCCTGGGACAGAGCCCTACCCAAAGCCTGTCTGGACTAGTGTCTCTCCCTCCTCCTGCTTGGGGCCTCCTGACCCCTCCCCTCTGCTCTGTGGCAGCCCCAGGGGATTTTTCCAGAGCACGATCGGATGCCTCCATTACCTCCCTAAAACTAGAAAGTATCTCCCCACTGTCCAGCCCAGGGCTTCCCCAGGAGGGCTGCTGCAGAACCCGCAGGGAGCCTCAGTATGCACTGCGCCTGGGCCCACCCGGAGATGCTTTGCTCGCCTGGGGTGGGGCCAGGGCATCGGAGTTTCTCTCAAAGCCCGCAGGTGGTTCCAAAGCGCAGGTCAGAGAAGAACCCCGTCTCGAGAGCCTTCGGTGGCCCAAGAGGACCTGCCTGTCCTGCCCGCCAATCATCAGCCAGATCCATTCGCCCCAGGCTTCCCACTGGGGCTGGGTTGCCACCTGTCCCTGACTGGAAACGCCTTTCCTTTCTCGCCAGGCCTCTGCCAGCTCATCCTGTGAGCCTCCGCTTAGCCTGCCCCACCCCGGAGCCTCCTTGACCCGCCTGCCCAGGCACCTCCTCTGGGCTGCCTGTACCTGCCCGGCCAGCTCAGCTCTTAGCACGGTCTGTCTCCCCCGAGCATGTTCTCTTTTCAACTTTTTATCCTCTTAACCCAGCTCTGCGGCTTACGAATAGTAGGTGCTCAAAATACGTTGTCGAACGAGCGAGTGAACCATCCTTGCTTTATCACTGTTCTCTGTCATCCTCACAGACAAGTCACTTCATCTGAGCCACGGCTGCCCCGTTTATAAATGATCTCTGCAGTCCCGCCCGCCTCCAGATGACCAACCACACATGTTTAAAGCCGCCGCCACGTAGGGTGCAGGCCATGGCTGTAGTCCTGTATCCATGGAGCTGAGGGGGGTGGCATTTAGGGGTGGCCAGCGCCAGCCAGTTTAGGAAGGAAGGGGAGAAAGTCCTAGTTTCTGAGACACAGGAGCAGGAACAGCAGGGGCTCTGGGGTCAGGTGGTCTGGGTTCTAGTCTCTGCTCCAGCCCTCTCTGGCTATGTGACTTTAAGCAACTACTAAATGTCTCTGAGCCTTAGTTTCCCCATCCACAAAATGGGGCCATAATACCCACCCCCTAGGGTTAGTGGGTGGATTAAATGAAATCATGTTCCCTTAAAATCCAGCCTTAATTAAGAGCCTCTCTCCCCACCCCCGTACACACACATACCCTCCTAACCCGCACTGTCTAAGGAGCTTGCTTGTGAGCGGCGGGGTCCCTGGCCTGCCCCTTCGCCCCACACATAACCTCCAAGATAACCTTCCGTGACTTAGGTCCTCCTTAAATGCCCTTGGGGGAAGGAGGGAAGGTCCAGGAGGGCAGGAGCCCACGGGGAGTAAAAGATTGTTTTCTTCTGTGAAATCCAACCCAACCTAATCCCCCGGCCAGCAGGCCTCAAGAGTGGAGCACAGGAGCCCCTTGCCCCGCCCCACCCAGGCTAGATGTTGGGGGAGACCCACCGCACCCATCTTCCCTCCCCGCAGACTGCTCACCGCCCTCGCGCAGGGCGCCCCAGCCTGTGATCCAGCAGCGCAGGCCCGGCTCGAAGAGGTGGGAGCGCGTGGGCAGGCAGACGGGGCGCACGGCGGCCGAGCGCACCACGGGGTGGTCCAGCTGCAGCAAGGCCACGTCGTAGTCGTGGCTGTCCTCCTCGTGGTACGGGTGCAGGAACAGGCGGCTCACCTTGAAGGACACCTCGCCCGGCCAACGCGAGCTCTGCCACACCTTACCGAGGAAGACCGTCCACAGTGCTGCCGAGGCCATACTGGGGGCGGGGAGGGTGTCCTGCTCAGCGGCTGCCTCACCCCTGCCCGACCTTAGGATAGCCAGCCGCCCCACCTGCGACACCGTGCCCCGCGGCCATCGCCTCCCTCCTCTGGAAGGCTGGTAGCCAGTGGGTGGTACGGTGTCCAGCGTCTGCCCTGGAGCCCACCTGCCTGGGTTCCAGCCCCAGCTTCATCCTTTCCTGCACAGGTGAGCACTTCTCTACCCCTCAGTCTCCTTATCTGTGAGGTGGGAATAGCATCTCCTCCTCTAACGTTCATGGGAGGATGCAGGAAGACTGTGCGCGTAAAACAATTAGCACAGGGCCGGGCACCTGACAAGTATTTCTCTCCTTTTATCTGCACACTTTACAGACGGGGCTGCTGTGAACTCGCTGAGACACGTCAGTCCCCCGGGGGAGGGGCAGGGAGAGAGCTGAGTGTGGAGGATTGGCCGAGACTGGGCTTCAAAGCCCCCTGAATGTCACGTCAGGGCTTTCTTTCCCTTACAGGCCGAGCTGGAGTGACAGAGAGCGAGGTGGCCAGACCACACTCAGAAAGAGCCCCCGGGCACCTGGGCAGAGGATGCATAAGGGAGGTGGACTCTGGGCTGCTGGGCTGACCGGGCGTGATGGCGGCAGTGTGGATGGGCCGCGTCTAAGGATTTGTCTGGAGAACTGAGAGGACTTGATGTCTGGTTCTGACTGTAAGAACGAGGGGATGCCTTGGTGGCTCTGAGCCTTTGGCTGGGGACGTAGACCCAGGACGGAGGAGGCGGTGTGGGTAAAGGAGAGCAGGCTGGTTGTGCCGGGGGCGGGGTCTGGGGGCCCAGAGTAAGGGGCTGGAGTGGAGAGGGGGCCCACTACCATGCAGGTGGGGAAGATGTCTGTGAGGCTGGGCGAGATGTCCCCTCTTGGAGGCACACCTGGAGGAGGAAGATGATGGCCTATGCCCAGGCCAGGCAGTTCTGCCCCCTGCCATACCCCTAGTGTCCAGCGCAGCCCCTGATCCATTCAACAAATATTGCTGAGTGGATGAATGAGTGAATGAATCACTGACCCACCTTGAAACAAGATACCAAAAGCAGAGCACAGAGAGGTTGAGCAACCTGTCCAGGGCCACAGAGTATGTTCATGGTGGAGCCAGGACTGACCCCAAGTGTGGGAACAGCCAGTCTGGGCGGCTCCTCACCATCCTTCCCTCCGTCTGCTTAGAGCCCAGAGACAACACCCCTCCCCGCCACGGCCTCCTACACCGTCTCTAACAGTCTTTGTCCCCACGCCCTCCCTCTCACCTGTCCTCCTGGAAGCAGTGGGCTGCCGTGATCACCCAGCGGTCAGCGATGAGGGCGCCCCCACAGATGTGTCGGCCCCGGACCTGGAGGCTGGCCTGCCATGGCCACTCACCCTCCGAAGACATGGCCCCGCCCACAATGCGGCCAGAGGGGCCTTGGAGGCCACAGTCTGGGGGTGGGGGAAGAGGGCAGGGGTGGACAGAGGTGGAGGGGCAGGTGGAGGGCAGTGAGACACAGAGACACAGAAGGGGAGGGACAGAGGGAGAGCGAAGGAAGGAAGTGGAAGGGAAGAATGAAGGAGAGGAGGAGAGAGAAAGGCAGGCGGGGTCCAGACAAGGGGGCGAAGGAAGGGTAGAGAGACAGACGGACAAATGGTGAGCTTTCCCTCCAGCTTCGTGGCGCGGGCACCACCTCCCTCCCTCCGAGGCGTGGTGGGGCCCCCAGCAGCGGGGCAGGGCGGGCTCACCACAGTGCTGCTCGTCCGAGCCATCTGGGCAGTCGGGCTGCCCGTCACACTGCGGGTTGGGCTTCCTCACGCAGCTGCGGTCCGCACACTGGAAGGTGAACGTCCCACAGGGCACCCCTGGGATAGAGGGGGTGAGGGCAGGGCACGGGGGTGGGTCCCTGAGCCTGGGGGAACCTTTAAACAAGGCCCATGGAAGATGGAGGCTGGAAGAGGCCCGGAGGTGACTGGTAAAGGGTCTCCTGATCATAATGAAGGGTCTCTTGAGGCCCCTTCCGTGTCTCCTCAAGTTGGCGATGCCCCTTCCCCACCCCGCAGCCCCCTCAGACTGTGCTGCTGAGAGCAAGGCTGTGTCTCCCCTCTCGGACGGGATCTTCTGACTGTAGGGTCATAGCTTCCCCCTCCTGGGGCTCCTGACCGTAGGGTCATGCCTCCCCGCTCCCAGGTGTGGTACCTGAAGGCAGAACTGTGCCTCCACTTTCTGATTAGCCTTGTAAGAGCAGGGCTCTGCCCCTCCCATCAGACTAAGGCTCCTCACTTAGCCCGGCAGCCCTCCAGGCCCTGACCCCACCTGGCTGCCCACCTGCTCCACATCGTCTTTACCCTGAGGAGCTTCCCGCTCCCAGTCTTCTCCTGGTCCCCTTTCCTCCCACCTATTTAAATGTTACCTCTCTTCAAGGCCCAGTTCAAAGCCTGCCTCCTCTAGGGAGCTTTTCCTGCCTAATCTCCCCGCCCTCCAGTCTTTCCATGCTACTGGACATAATGTTCAGAAGGCTTTGGGCAGAGAGAGTCACCCATCATTTCTTCTTCCTAACAGATAATCTCCAGAAGGCAGGGACCACATCTCTGGCATCTTCGATTCCCACCTCCTTCCTCTGCCTTGCATATCCTTTGCCTAGACTGCAGGTGTTGGCTGGTTGGTCAGTTGCATGGATGGATGGATGGATGGATGGATGGATGGATGGATGGATGGACACAGGTAGGAGACTGGGCAGACCAACAAATGGGTTGATTGATGGCCCAGTAGGGAGACTGACAAACAGCTAAAATGATGGATAACTGAGTAGTTGTAAAGACCAGTGGACGAACAGGTAGTTAGATCAGTGGATGGATGCTTGCATACATGTCTTCATAGATGCATGGATGGAGGACAGAACAATGAGCACACAGACAGGTAGTTGGGTAAACCAATGGGTGAGTAGATTGACGGTTCAGTGGACAGGGAGATAGGTGGTTGGACAGGCCCATGGATGGACGACTGAGTGGATGTAACACTCAAGTTGTGGTTGGAAAGACCAGAAAATGGATGGATGGATGGATGGATGGATGGATGGATGGATGGATGGATGGATAGATGGATGGATGCACAGATGGACATATAGGTGTACATACAGATAAGTTGGTAAATATTTGGACAAGAGGGCAGAAACCTTTGCTGAAGAAGCATGCAGAAGGGCTGGGCTGTCTGGCTGAGACCTATTCTTTGGTTTCTCTGAGATTCCTGGTCATACCCCACCCTACCTTCCTGGCACTGCTCCTCGTCACTTCCATTGAGACAGTCAGGCTGTCCATCACAGATCCTGGACAGTGAGACGCAGGTGCTGTCCTCTTGGCACTGGAATGTGGCTCTGCAAACTGTGTGGGGACACAGAGAGGGGGTAGGTAGGAGGGAGCCAGCAAACCAGGGCTTGGACTTTGAGATGTCTGTAGAATATGTATTGCATGTCACAGTCACAAATCTCTTTCTCAGCTACTTTACACCTGAGTTTCACAGCAACCTGGCGAGATACCCTGTTTCATTGATGGAAACAGAAATGAAGTGACTTGCCCAAGGTCAGTGGGCTCAGCTATAACTTGAAGCCAGATGTTCTGGTTCCAAACATCAGGCACCTTCCCCAGCACCCAGGCACGATCATCCCAGCAGGCTCGTCTCCCTTCCCTCCTGCTTCTCTCCCCACATATTCAAAACTTTGATGGGATGGGGAGGGGAGAGGTCTGGGGAGATCAGACCGGAACAGGCTGCCCCGATGGTGACTCTGGGGGCCAGGAGCCAGGATTCAGAGAAGAGGTATTATTTCAAGGAAGTCTTGGCTTGGGGACCACCAGGACCCTGAGCTCCTTCTGCGGGGCTGGGCGGTGGTGAGCACAACTCCAGTAAGAGTTGGCAACTCCAGTCTGATCCGCTCGAGGACCCATTCAAGGGCGGGAGAGAGGGTTCTCTCCTGGCCGCCAGGGCTTGCCTGCCCCTGCTTCCCAGCCTTTCCCTTCCTGGCTCTGCTGCCATCTGCCCTGTTCCTTCTTGGATGGCCGGTTGGGACAGAGTGGGAGTTATGGTCTGGTGGAGAGAAGCCCTGAGCTGGGGGTCAGGAAACCGGATCTTAGCTTGTCCCTGCCACTGCCCCATGGGGTGGCCCTGGGGCTTCCATCTTGCCATCTCAGCACAAAAAGAGACTCCCACTTCCTGGGAACCGCATGTGGGGGCGGGTGTCTACTCAGCGGGGCGGGCGGGCTCTGAGAAGGTGGGGAGAGAGGAGGGGCGGGGCAGGTGGGCTGCTCACCGCAGTTTCTCTCGTCCAGGCCATTGGGGCAGTCCTTGACCCCATCACAGGTGGGCACACAGAGTCCGTTCACAGAGCAGAGGAACTCTCCAGGACAAGCTGGGGGGCGCGGGGCGGGGAGGGGAAGCCATTAGGATATGTGTCATCGTGAAAACACAAGTAGATGCGGCACCTGTGTGCTACACGTGTATGTACCCACATGTACACACGCTTGTGTCCATGGTCCAGGTGGACATCCATGTCCAGGCACATGTACATAGCACACACACAGGTAGGCATGAATGTGTGTACCTAGCGAACGCATGTGACTGCCTCACCCGTGT